TCTTTGAATCGATGGATCTTCTGTCAGCAAAATTTTACTTTCTTGATATTTACCCGCGGCATTCGAGCAGTCTTAGGATGCGGTTTTGCCGCTATTATTTATTTTTATTTTCAGCTGGACTCTTTTATCCTTTTCAAATTTAATACATTAGTACCTTTTTTAAAATCCAATAACCTCGATTTTAACACAGCTTTGCAATTTATTTATATGAATATTTTTCCTCGGAAAAGGCATTTATGTAACCTTCGAGCCATCTATCAATTTCGGGAGGCCTCTCGAAAACAAATTTCTTATTTTGCATTCCATTCAAAACAAAAGTAGTGGCAGACGATTATATTGAAAATGCCAAATATTTACCTCAAAATACTAACAAGAAATTTAAATAGAAAATAGTTTCCATAAAACGAGAAATACCTTCTATAACTTTTGTTAAAATTTTTAAGTTTTGCTTTTTTCTGTGTTACTGAAGTTTAGACTTCTATTCTGGGCGAAAATTAATATTAAGGCAAAGAAAGCTTAAACAGGGTGTAGTTCGGTAACTAATTAGGTTTAACGTTACAGCTTTTACATACATTTAAAACACAGAACATTCATGTGATCATTTTGTTGCGATATTTACTTTATTGTAATGTTATGGAAACTGAATGCATAATTTCGAAATATGACTGCTATTATATGTACGATATTAAACACATAGAAAACAGTATTAAATAAAAGTCCTTAAAGTAATCTAATTAAAGGGAAGATAAATCTTGTTACTTAAATATATGATCTTTTAACCGAGGGAGTTTCATTGCATATTACTCCGCAGACTGGCTCTTAAAATCATAATTTAAGAAAAAGAAAGGTAAAATGTGATTAACTACAATACTTCAAACATACGATATGGCTAGTCATAAACGAATCACGAAATGTCAAGTGACAAGGAACTTTGCAATGTTAGCGTTTCTTTGCACACAGCATTCCATGGCTCTTGTAGTATTCTAGTTTATTCTCCAAAAATTCCTATTTCCTGTAATTTGTTATTCTCTTGATAGAAGGTGAATGTACTATCACGTGATGCCAAAATAACATTAGCATGTGAGATTACGCCTTAGTCTCTATCAAAATAATGAGTGCTAGTTTTATTTCCATGCAATGGCCTAAATTTGAATGTCCATTAGTGTTCTGTGAGGGTAATTTAGAAAGGTAACTGCGGTGATGTATTTAATTATATTAAATTTCTTATAATAAATTTTAATTTGTGCGAAAAGATAAAAAAAGGAAAGACTGAGGATTTTGACGAAAATTTTTTGAGATTTAAAAAAGAGAGAGAAAGCAGAAGAGAACAGATATTTGCTGTTTAAAAATGTGTAGTAATATTTAAAGTTTAGAAAACTCTGTTAAAAGAAATCTTAGAGTTATAACTATGTACCTCAGACTTTTGTATAGGTATCTGAGTTGTACAGTCTTCAGTTTCGGACTTGAATACTATATGGGTATTTCTCCCGCCTTCTTAGCGTTCCTTCGTGTAGTGGTCAGCATGCTCGGCGTGTATTTTAGAGGTCCGTGGTTCGATGCCGGAGAAGGCATTGCTCATTTTTCATCTCCCCTGCTTTCAAAAACTATCTAACGTCTCTACAGTGGCGCCCGAACTAAAAAGATGGTGGATGATGATTTTCCACCACCAGGATTTGGCGATTGGGTCCCCTAATCCCCAGAGTCGCTCTTCTCCCGCCTTCTTAGCATGGATTCGTGGTGTAATAGTCAGCACACTCGACGCGTATTCGAGACGTCCGTGGTTCAAATCCCGGCGAGGGCATTGCTCATTTTTAGTCTTTCCTACTTAGAAATGACCTAATGACTCTACAACTAAAGAAAAAGAAAATTATTATTGTGACAAAATCTATGGTATTCTGAAAGCTTAGCATATTCGATTCATTTTTTAAAATAGATTTACAGATCTACGATTAGCTAGCTATTCAAGAGATATTTCAGATAATAATCTTCTAAAAACTCTCGTTATCTCACTCACTCTCTCTCTCTCTATATATATATAGTATTATGTATAGGGAACTTCTAATTTTACTTGTCACTAGCCCCTTTTATCCTCTATTTTAATTTGCGTACTTTCCCTTTCAGTCTTAAGAATAATTACTATACTCTTGTTAACGTGCGTCACTGCTCGTTTCTGTCTATCATCCATTGTTTTCAGATGTGCTGAGCTTCCAAAAATGTGGGATGCATACAGCGCCTGTTCTATTTGTGCTGGATTAAGGAAAACAATGTGTCAGCCATATATATATAATATGTGTGTGTGTATGTGCGGGATGGGTAAAAATAACTCCCTATTAAAACTGTTGAATAAACTTTTTGAAAATCGCAACCTTTGCATGGAAACTATTTTGACTGTTTGTTAGAACTATCTCTAATTTTGTTAGACCAGAAGGGCTATTAGTCTCAAACTTCGATTTTACATTGTTTCACTTTTCATTCGAATCTCTTGCCATTCGGTATATTGTAAGATATATGCCTTTAAAATTTAATTTGTCTGTAACTAACATTAACAAACTAAGCTATTTAAAATTCTATTTTAAGCTATTTAAACTAATCTATTGAAACAACAGACGTAGTTCTTAAGAATATTATTTCTTTACTTTTTAATGTCATTGATAAGTAAAAATGCATTTAATTCATGATGTAACGAATTAAAAATATTAAATATTTTAAATTTAATTCATGATTTAACGAATTAAAAATATTAAATATTTTTATACGTTATATATTTTTTCACTTTCCGAATACAGTGAAGTTATATAAAGTTTCCCATGTTAGTCTAAAATTATAGTCATCTAGTATCTCATAGAAATGTTTCTCTATTTCACATGGGCCGTTTCTATTCATGATCTGTACTGATAAACTATATTAAACTTTAAAACAGCCTTTTTAGGCATCCGATAAAATTTGAAATATTTCAGATTATTATTATTACCCATTTTATTTCGGCGCAATATGGACAGGAAAACATGACACAATTCGGGACTCTGAACAATCGTGCCAGCTAGCCTGTGGAATTCTAACTTCTTTAAAGTTGGAAAGGTAGCAAGATAGACCACTTTCAAAAACAACTTTTTATATTGACTTTTTTGAAGATCAAATAAACATTTGCTGAACAGTTTGAAAATTCTGCTTTTTGAATATCGAGCGACGAAGAATTTGCGATGGATCGTGAGTTTGGCATGACAGTTCTTGATGGTCTTAGCATTAACTGCAGTACGAGGTCCTTGAATACAACTTTACAAATCACTGTCACATTTCGTAATAGGATGCGATTTAGCAAAATTACAAAGGGTCAGGCTTTGGGTCCTTCTGCGGTGCTTTTATCACTCTGAAACTAAATAAATATTCTTGTAAATCTCTGTAAATATCTGTGAGCATTTGATTATACTGTGTGTTTTATTAGTATTTGTATTTTTTTACATATTTGTTTATTAACAATTTTAGAGAGCATTTTTTGTATAATTTAATTTTGTGAGCACATATTATTTACATAGGTTCTTATTTCTTGTGATAGTATAATCTGTTTCTTCACTCTTTTCCTTCACTCTTTTCTCAGTTCATCATATCAACGCTCAATTTTCATACTTGTTATCTTTACAGAACTATTTTTTGTCTTTTTACTATTCACGTTTAGTTTACTTACTTTATTTATTAGATATCACGTTCTTGGCGTTTACGCCACATAAAATTCGATTCAACACAAAATCACAAATATTTAAGAACAGTATATCTTTGAAGTTATCGGCAGACAGTCTCCCGCTGAGGATAAAAATGTTTTATTGTTGTTTCCATTACTCTCTTTGAAATCGTTGAGTTTGTTAATTAAAATTAGGCCCACCAGCGGCCGAGCGGTAAAGTCGCTGAACACTGGTAGTTCGGTCCGAGGTTCGAATCCCGCGAACGGGCTGGCTGCATGGGCGTTTTCGTGGTTTTCCCCATGTGTAACGTATATACGAGTCAGTTTCCCTTAGAAAGTCCTCCACGAAAGGCATATCTCCCTTTAGGCAGATAGCCCTCGAGGCTTTGCCATAATCTCGCTCACACACACACACACACACACACACACATAATTAAAATTACTTTATAAAGTTTTACAAAATATGATATAGTTAATAAAACAAATTCGAAATTCAAAATTTGGGTTTCCAGGTGCCCATATCCGGGGCAGCACTACGTTATTCAAAATTTGTCAAAATTGGATGGCTCTAGGTTCTATTGTTTTCTCACAATGCGAGAGGGCTCACCAGCGGCCGAGCGGTAAAGACGCTGAACACTGGTAGTTCGGTCCGAGGTTCGAATGCCGCGAACGGGCTGGCTGCATGAGCGTTTTCGTAGTTTTCCCCATGTGTAACGTGTATACGAACCAGTTTCCCTTAGAACGTCCTCCACGAAGGCATCCCTTCCTTTAGGCAGATATCCCTCGTGTGCTTTGCCATAATTGAATAATCCTAATCCTATCCTCACAATGCGAGAAGCATACGGAAAAAAAGTTCTTTATTCTAGCCGTACATACAGATGTCACGCAAAAACATTGCTAAAATGGATTCGAGAGCAGTAAAAATGGATATTTCCTTTGAAATAAAATACCCGAAATTTTTCGTGATTACAATACTTCCCTTACTTCTTGCAAAGAAATAAAAATAAAAGTCTTATCACATACTTTATTACAGAATATTTGAAAGAGGATCCATTTTTGATACAAAGACTGACAATAGACAGTTTAGAAATTATACAGATGTGCCATTTACAGATTAAAGAAACAGTCTGCTTTTAATACTATGCACACTAATAAGTCACGAATAACGAAATGAAATTCATAAATGCATTTGCTGAAACACGCTAAAACTTTAATTAAAAGCATTAAATATTTTAACCGCGAGAAAAACCTTATACACTGCTTTTTGCACATTGGTTCTATTTTTTACATTTTTTCTCAACTCTTTTTTTTTTTTTTTTTCTAGGAGCAATAGAAGACGCGTTGGAATTTGATGACAATAACGACGGTGTAGTTGATTACGCAGAATTCCGAAAACACAGGCCTGACTGAAAAAGTGCATGGTGAAATAAAGATTGCAAAATTTTGAACCGAATTGGGAAATTTCATGTAGACTAAATTTTTCGTTTCTTGTACGTAACAAATAAATCGTATCAAACAAGAAATAACTGTTTAATTATTAATACGAGTCATAATATAGTTATTCAAAACAAGTGATCTGATTTGAAATGGCTTTGTTTTTTTTAAATCTGCAAACATGATGTCAAAATAATACGTGAAATGAAAGAGAAGATGTACAAGATAATACACTGGTGTGCAAAACTTAAGCAACAAGCGTTCTTTTTGCCATAACTCTACGAGAAATCATCTCCGAGACATGAAATTCAGAAATGAGAGATAGCAGTATTTAAACGATGACGAAAGCATAGTAGTGCAAAAATGAATACAGTGCGTACAGTATGGAATCAGACAAAAGCAGGCTTTATTGAACTCGTATCGTTACACATGATTGTCTGTTCAAGAGGAAGACCAACAAGCACATGTTCCTTAGTATGGGATATGCCCTCCCTTTACTGCAATAATTGCTTCGCTCCGTCTCTTCATACTCAGCACCAGATTGTCCAACAGATCATGAGGTAAGAGTGCCCATTCCTCAATCAGCATCTGTTTCAGTTGTTGGGTGTTCCCCGGATGTTGTAATCGTGTCGCAAGGCGTCTCTCCAAAGCATCCGACACATGTCCTATGGGATTTTAGTCAGAGGAATACGCTGGCCAAACCATTCGCGTGATATCTTCACTTTCCAGTAGTTTCTGAATAGCAGGAGTCCGGTGTGGCCGTGCATTGTCATCCATAAAAACAAAGTTCTGCTCCAATGGCACCTGAGAACAGACGCACGTGGGGAAGGATCGTCTCCTGACAATAGCGATTCCGGTTACGCAACTACTGTTAAAAACTTTTAGCTCTGTTCGCCCGTTCAGCATAATGTCTCCCCAGATGAGAACTCCAGGACCACCGTAATGGTCTCTTTCTTTAATGTTACTGGCATAAAACCTTATACAAACTTTTCTCCAAATCCACTGGCATTCAGAATCGCTTATGACGCTAAAACGACTCGCATCCGTAAAGAGGACACGACTCCATTGGTGAGATGTCCAGTTTTTGTGCTTCTTGCACCACTCTAAACAGTACCGCCGATGACCAACTTTCAAAGGGATGAAGCATTCAGTACGCCGGGAGAACTGGCCACCTTTGTGAAGGCGTCTGGACACAGTAAACCACCACACTTGTCGCCCTGGTGCTGTACACAGTTGCTAACCTATGGCGCTTGCTGACTGGTTTCGGGCTCTTTTCGCCTGCAGGACGACAGGACGATATATCGGTCTTCCACTGCAGTTGTTTTCCTAGGGCGGGCACCAACAACCTTTCTAACAGCTGTGCCTATGGTTTGGAAGGCTTTCCAAGCGCGCAAAACGACTCTTTTGTTGATTCCGAACTTTATAGCTACACTGGTCACATTACGCCACTTCTCCAGCTTTCTGATCATTCTTCCACGTATGAAGTCATCTAGATGATTTCTTCTAACCATATACCACGAAAGAACTCACCTGTACTCGAAGCGATTGTCTTTAATTGCGTCTCCATCCTTCCTTTTATTGTTGTCTTGAGCTGAGCGCGCCGACCCTACGCGTTTTGCGTGCGCTCACGTCGTCTGTGACGTTTTGATCCTGACATTTGCATACGCACGACCTTTTCCACTGAATTGTATGTTCATTGTACTGATCGCAAGAGTCTCTTTTCTGCAATTTCATGGCTATCTGATTAAAAGTTACATTGTTGCTTAAGTTTTGCACACCAGTGTATTTATACTGGTAGGCTGATTAACTTATTATAGCGAAATATGCGACAGTTATCTAATTAAGAGACGGTTGTTGCGTCAGAGAAAAGATACTGCCTGCATGGAAGGCACAGGTATAGTTGTACTAACAGGGTAATTTCGTCACAAAAAAACAGCGTGGCATCTGAGACTATCGGAAAGGTGGCCATGTTGCATCACGTGACCTTGCTTCGTCATCTTAAAAGAAAGTTTCCCGCCATTTTGGATGTCTCAGAAATTTATTTTTAGATTTGGACCCAACGCCGAATTAATGTGAATTTTGAAATTTCGTACATAGATACGTAAATATGTGTAGAATTCGAGTAGGATATCAGAGTATCAGAAGAGAACTTAATTTGTGATTTATAAGATTTATTTTTCAAACAATGTGTGCAATAACGCGTGCTACCAAATAATAGAATGAGTTACAGAGTCATTAGTTGTCGCTTCTTTTAAAGAAGGTGACATAAAAAATATACAATGCAGTCGCCGGAACTCCGGATGTGCTTTCGAGTTACCTCTCCAAGGAAAGGGGCGAAAAAGGAGCAGTGATCACGTTTTGAGGCATTTTAGTAATAATTTTAGACAGTAGGTTTTAAGAAGATGTTAAAAAGTACTATGGGAATTCTTTTCATGTGAGACTCTCTTCAGGTCTCGATTAGCTTCATCTCGGTATATTAAAAATATTTCTGTAACAATCTTAACTTCTACATGGATATCTAGACATCCTTATGCAGTTTACATGCAGTAGTAATATTAATAAGCAATGCATCTTTGAGCAGTGAATTTCAGTCTTAAATTTATAATTACATTACATTTAACATTGAAACTCTACAATATTTATTCTCCAGAGAACTGAAATTTACCTCATGAGATATTTCAATATCTTTTCGGGAAAATTTCAGAAATCAATAAAGTATATTTCCAAAACATTTCCAAACATTGTGCTGCCTTTAAGAAGTCGTGCCTAATAATTAAGCAGGTGTCTAGTGACAATACGCGAAAACACCTGATCTTTTCGGAAGTTGATACACGTTCATGAGTATCCAAATGGTGCTGAACGTTGTTTGTCACTTCTAATCTGTATTAGGCTGTCACTTGTGCTGTATTGTTTATAACTGAGTTTAGCTATTTAAAAGCATCAGAGTTTCAGTTTTTTAATTACAGAATTTTAAATTCAATTTGTAAATTTTTCTACTTTTCCAGCAACTGCCTCAAGAAAAAATTTGCAGTATCGCTACCAGGCTTTTTATTATCAAAACAAATAACAGATGAAATATGCTCAGTTAAATTTTCCGCAAAAATTACAAATAAAATTTCGAAAACTTTCCTCAGTCACATCTTGGTGGACAAAAGAATTAACCATTCAGAGGGAAAGGGCAAGGGCGTTGAGACGAAGATATCAGATTGAGACTTGGAACGAGTTTGATAGAAATAGACTACGCACAATTTAGAGAAAAGAAGAAGCGCTTGAAACGTAATGTTCATAAAGCGAAGGTTAATTCTTGGAATAATTTTTGAGAAAATATTTTTCCAGAGTTGCCGTTTGGCAAAGAGAAAAAGTAACTTTATCTATCTATGTTTTCAAAAATTTTTACAAGGGCGCACCTCAAGGATCTAATTTAGCTCAGTTTAGTGGAACATTGGGGGCGGGGGCGGATAATACTGCATTAAAGGCAGACTTAGAAAATGATGTCACACTTCAAGAATATGCCAATGATTTCATCGTCATTGTTGATAGAAATCTTGCAGACTTAGAAATAAAAGCAAAGAAAGCCCTAGAGAATATTAAAAAAAAAGAGTGATAAATATAAACTTTTAATAGTATTAAAATAAAAATAATAACATTTCGTGAGGGTTCAAAACTTGTAAAACATTCACCAAGATTACGATAGAAGAATGTTCCTATTCGAAATAATGATACATTAAAATATCTAGTGTTGGTTCTTGATAAAAAAAATTAACCTGGATTCGCACTTCTCGGAAGTGCGAGATCGAAGACAGGCAATTGTAAACTATTTAAATCATCTTAAGTCGCACAAATGAAGACTTAGAGGGAAAATATGGAAAGAATTGTATTTAAGAGTAATTGAAAGATTAATATTATATGATTGCAATGTGTGGTAACATTACATAGGCCAACATTTTAGTTGCTACAAATTCAACGAAAAGTATTACTACATATAACTAAAGCGTTTTGTAGTACACCAACAAGCGCTCTTCAATTTCTTGTTGGAGCGCTTCAGCTAGGTATTAAAGCAAAACAATAAAAGATATTCCGTTTTGTTCACTTTCAAGAGGATTGCCCTGTGGATGAATTAAATATACCGAGTTCTCTAGTGGAAGTAGAAGTTCCAATATTGAACAAACACCCAGTTCAATTCACACCAGTCGTATGGCATATGAATATTACCAAAGGAAAGAGAACAGAAATTTTTACAGATAAATCAAAGGTCCAAGATAAAGTTGGAGCTGTATTTAGCTTAAGAAGATAAACAAGTTATAATGTGTAAAAAATTTAGACTAAATGATTCAAGCACAGTTTACTAAGCCGAAGCAATAGTTTTAAAGGAAGCCTTTTTATTGCTAAATGCCTTTCTCAAAAGTAATAAGTCACAATATGCCAGCATTTATACAGACAAGTCAAAGCTTTATGTTCTACGAAGAGAAAATCTTCACTTATTCAAGTTCTTCAAGAAACAATAAATACGGAAAGGAATATTCGTCCTATTAACCTAAATTGGATACTGGGACATAACAGGTATAATGGAAAATGAAGCTGCTGATATAGCAGCTAAGGATGCCGCATTAAAATATATGACTGATATCCATCTTTCTATTTCTAGACTTAAAGTCAAGAATAAAATGGAAGAAAGTTTGGACGAGGCAGATACAGGAAGATTAACTCATGATTACTTCTCCCAAGTATCCCTAAAAAATAAAAACAAATTTCCTCCCAGTGCAATTAGCAATATATCATGGAAAGTTTCCATCTTATTTCCAGCGATTAAGAAGAAATGTAAGACATGGGTGCGGAACACTAGCAGAACTAGCAGATGCTAAACATTATATATGGCAATGTCCATTACTTTCAATTATTAGAACAAAGCATTGAAAACGAAGCCACTGTGATTATAAATAATTTATCATATTACATAAATTATAAATAATTTTCATATTACATAAATTATAAATAATTTATCATATTACATAAATGAAGAGTAAGTAAAGATTATAACATGTCCCTGTCTACATTTGTAAAAAGCGTGAAAAGAAGATGAAATTGCATC